AGTATATTTTACGTAGGTATAAGTTAATCCTGACGGCTGCCTTGGGTTGCTTTGGGCGTACTTTATGCCCTCCGATGGAGTAAAGTTGGCATCATTCTGCACGATTATTCACTTATTTTAAGCTTCCACAGCATCCGTCAGTTTACACTTATGTATATCTAACTTAATGTAGATATTATTCATAAATATGGTCCTTAGAACATAAATATTAGAATTATTAATGAATAATAAAATCAAGTTATATTGACTACAGTCACTTTTATGCTTTTGTGTGCAGTGTCTTTAGTTTAAGGGCGGAAGTAAATGTTTTAACGTACGATGATTACAGCTGCTCTCGGCGAAAGAATTGCTGTCCGTTGTTCTTTTGATGCTTACAATTGTTCAACCATCGTACCAACAATATCTTTTCGCTGAAATTTATTGAATAGTATACAAATAATATATTGGGTGTGGTGAATATAACCAAAGTGTGTTAGAAAATACAAATATGTACCTTTTGAAGTGACACGTGACAGTGTTACAGTTTACATAAAAATGACTTTATAACTTAAGCAATGTATAAACTAAGGCTAAAAGTTTACGCTGCACGCTTATTTTATGTTAGAATTGATTCTGATTGCTGCCAGTCGGGTTACGTGTTGAGGGCCGTGATGAAAACGATTTGCCGCTGCTGCCGCGTTGTGGTGGCATCGACCGACGTGCAAAGCGCGTTTCACTGTGATAAACAAAAATTTTTAGAATTAATTATATATATTATTATTATTATTATTATATTCCTCTGAGGGAACAGCGCATGCAGAATATTTTGTCTAGTGCAATTTTATTTATACCCTTCCAAAAAAATTTTAAAACGTGACGCAAATTTTATCAACGGCCTTTAAAATTTGTTAGCACACAGACGTACATATTTTTCATAAACGAAATAAATGTTGTTACGCCTTTTATAAACTGCTTATAATTTAAATAATATTGAATATTCAAGGTACAGTGTTTAAGTTTATGGCCAATAACCGAGAATTCTTAATATTGTTGTGCGTTTGGCATTTATACAAAACATGCTTTACATAACAATTTTTTCCAATATATTATTTAGCATCATTTCAGCTTGTCATAATTTTTTTGCGGCTTACCAATTCGAAGCACAGCTCAAAATGTAGAATTGTTGGTATTGTTAAACGTAAGACGGACACTATTATAACTAAGGCTGGTTGATAGGATGGTAGGTAGGAGGCAGGATTAACGACATACGAAAGTATGCATTTGGCAAATACTTCACATACAAATAAAAACAAAAACAAATGGATAGCAAGCACTAAGCACAAATTTGGTCGCGGTTACACTAATATTTTTCCAATATAAAATATCGAATTCAGTGACAGAATTTAGAAAAAAATCAACTGCGGTTTCTCGTCTTGATTGTAGGGCATCTTTGTGTTTTTGCTTATGATTTGTCTGGGCATATACACTTTAAATTTAGCTTAAAGCCGCAATGGAACCCACCGATCGATTTCCATTTCCTCCATACGTTGAGTCAATTCGATTTTCTGTTGGACGGCCAAACGAAGTAGCTGATTCAATGTTTTCTTTTCCTCCTTCAGCGGCTTCTAATTTGCGATTCAGGTCATCTACCTGTGTAACGTATTCCTCGCAGCGCGCAGCAAACATGGCGCGTAAGCCTAAAAGTAAAGGTATCTCGATGAAAAATAATTAAGATAATATGGCAATTTAATTTTATCTCTTGAATGATAAGCAACGAAATTTCACTCTCTAGTTAAGTTAGGAGCTTGCCCGCAAGACACAAACGATTCCTTAAAACTCCTTTTCCCTATTCGCTACCTTGTATTCACCATAACTTACTTGAGAATGTTGCCGCATCTTCTTTAAGTATCTTCAGTTCATTGCGCAACTTGGCCATTGTCTCGCTGACCACTGTCTTCTCATTCTCATATTTCGATTTGAGATTTGTGAGTGCCACTTCGGCGGTCTGCTTATTTGATTTCAATACAGTACGCAATGTAGCGATTTGGTCACGTTTGAGTCGATACAGGCCTTTGAGACGTACAATTTGTTCTTGCAACTCTTCGACCTCTTCGCGGTTATATTTGTCAGCTGCAGTAAAAAAAATTTATAGTAGAAATACATACTTTATTTTTCTTTTAAAAGATAAAATAAGAAAGAATTGTGCATCACCTTCGGAAACATCTCCGCGCACTTTGTTTTTGTTGTGCTCAATGGTGTGCTCGACAGCGGTTTTCAAATGTTTAATTTGATCACTTACTGTGATCTACATACTTTTTAATTTCCTACAGAATCTGCAAGCCCTTGCAAATCTTCAATTGTGTGGGAGCGGGAAGCGAAAATATCGGATTTGAATTGTGACTGTATGGCAGTAAGCGAATCGTTTTCGAAACTGAAATATAAAAAAAATCAAAAGTTAGTACCACTGGGCCACGTTACGAAAGTGAAACTTCTTTTCATTTAAACATTTCCCATTCGTTTCAAAACTCGCAACACCTCTTCGCATGCCCTCAAACTCCAATCAACCACTATAATAACAACAACAACCGCTACATCGCAAATGTAAATTTTTTTCGTCACGATTTTTTAATTCACTACCGGCGCTAAAGAAGTTTCACTTCAACAATTCAGAAAAGATTTGCAACAAAAAACTACCATAATACCATATACCTCATGTCATCGCTCTTGGGATCGAGCATTATACGTGTTGGTATCTCGCCGTTAACGGTGCAAACGAGATGATACAGCTGCGCCAAATCATCGCTTAAGGCCACCAGAGTGGAGCGAGCCGACCCAAACTTTGTCCGGCATTTTGTGAAATACTTGTGAGTGTCTGCACATCACTTTGTAGATCAATTGATTTTTGCTCAGTTGCGAGCAATTTATTTTTCAAATTTGTGACTTCATTGCGGAGAGTGGTCATTGCGTCGGTGTAGTTGAAACCCTTCTGTAGCTCAACCAAATCAGTCTTGAGACCGTCAATCTCCTTCGAAGAGAGTGTGAACCAACTGTTATACTGGGATAGTATGTCCAACAGTTGTTGTCGTACATTTTGCTCGTCGTTGCGCCGCTTCACCGCTTCTATGGAATCGTCTTTGATATCCAGCTGTTTCTTCAGCTGTAGTAGAGCATCCACATGTGCGGTGAGGAGCGCCAGACGAGCCATGAAATTTTGTATTTCATTTTGTGATTTATCCAAACTGGTTTGTGCCTCTCGTAAATTCGCTGTGAGTAGAATTTTCTCGTTTTCAATGGACTCCAATTGTTTTTCCAATTTCTTCAGCTCATTGAGATGCACTTCAGAGAATAAATCACATTTTGTGCCATCTGTTGCATTCAACTCTGTAGTCAAATCGGCTTCAAGTCGTTTCAAAGCCAAATTTTCCTCTTCACCATCGCTATTTGCGCTGATATTGTCGTCCATATTGCTCGCAGATATGCTAGATTGCTTATCTTGTACATGGACTCACGATTCAAATGGCTATCCAATTCTTTCTTGAGAGCATACTTTGCCTCACGTTCGCACTGCGCCAAAAAAATAGTTAAACAATGTGTAAAGTTTTTCTTTTTATAAATTTGCTCATATTGAAATTTAATAGCAAAGTTTTCACTCGCCTGCAAAGCCTCCAAGGCTTCTTCCATTTGTTTTTCGCATCTTTTTTAGATTAGCCAATTCATCGACTTGTGATTTAAAAGTTCCACCTCCTCGGTGAGGCGATCGTATCTCGTGTTTGGCACCTTCAAATTCCACCTGTTAGGAAAAATTTGATTTTTTTTATTTTAAAATCCCATAACCATTTAGTTTCTCAACGATTTCGTTTACCTGCAGAACTCCTCAAGCTTGACACCTGTCTTTTGCAGCGATATGTTTTCTTCTTCCAGCTCTGTATATTCCGTTAGCATGCGTGTCTCGCGAAATTTTAGGTCCTTTAACTCGGCCTTGAGTCGCAACTTCTCGGCCTCGTTATCCGACTTGTCGCGCCCAATGTCGGCATTCTCTTGCAGCATACGATCGCGTTCGTTTCGCACTCGCTCCAATTCGTGACGCAGCTGTTTCGTTTCATTTTCCAAGTCTAATATTTTACTGTTCAAACTGGTTTCGAGCTCTGCGGTTTCGCTGAGCAGTGACTCCTCCTGTTCGATGCCAGTTTTTGTGGTACCTTCTGTGAAGTTTGAAATTTTGCAAGTGCCTGAAATGAACGGTGAGAAATATTGTTTATCGAAATGGTAACATTAGAAAAGTAAAAATATTCGAAAAAAATAATTAAATTATTCATGAATTTTTTGATTTATTAGCCTATTTGGCTGGGTTTGCTGTTGGCCGTTTTTTATAATTAGCCAATTATTTTAATGAGAATTATAAATAAACATTAAGTGCCTTATATTTTCATTTCTTTATTTATATTACATACTCATTTCACTATCTGAAAGCACATTCAGGGACTGAAGGCCTTGCAGGGTTAACATGACTCTGCAAAGACTGTCCTGCATTATGCCTTGGAAGATAATAGGAACCAGCAGCAATACAAAACAAACAAAGAGCCCTAAGTTCGGACGAAACCGAACTTTATCTTATACTCCTTAGCGCGTATTTAATATCGTTTTTTGCTTTTTAATAAATAAGTTTTATATGAAAAGGGCATGATTTTTATATGAATTCAAAAGTTTTCAGCATCTTGTTTTAGTTGATTAAAGAAATAATTGATTTCTAGGTCGCATTCGCTTTTTTTCAATCTCTTGTCTAATAGTTCACCTAGAGAAGAGATAAAGTTTTGTTGGTGACGATGCCAGCGCCTCTGCAGTTTTGTTTTCATTCCAAAGTCCTGCCTATTGTAAGCAATTGTAAGCTCAGTTTGTCGAAATCAATCTTCAAAGTTATCACTAACTTGAAAAAACTTCTTCTAATACACATTCTAACTGGGGCTGATAAAAAGTATCGTGATGTCTGTTTAATCATTTCATACTGTTTTGGATGAAAATAAAGAAGTTCGAAATTTCCCTTGTGTGATCTCTGCTAAGCTGGTGAGCAGTCGTATGCACAAGTGCACAATTAATGTACACGGTGCTGTCATATAATTAAATGTCCATCATGTTGCCGTGTAAAGCACGGCTGGTGTATTCTTTATAATTAACCGTGTGGTCATTAGAAAATATCCTTGAATCACTAAATCTAAAATTTTTATGTTGCTAAAAAAATCACTTTTTGAATTCTTCAAATACGTTAAACAATTCTAAGAATTTGCGGCATGGGCTGAAATTTGTACAAATCTCACACATGTAGTTAAAACAAACCACTTTCGTTAATTTTTCACTTTGCACCTGTTATAGTGAGGCAAGTTGATTGTCTGGCTTGTGGACATGTGTGGATAGAACCTGGAAAGTTGGGTTCGTTAAACGGAGCCATGAAAATATGATCAAGCGAGATAACGATATCATAGTAATTCTTTTGATCTTTTTATTAGGATCAAGAGAATGGAGTCTTCATTCAACGCCTAATTAATTGGCCGTGTCTCAGTTCGCGCAACATTGAAGCACAATTCTCGATCTCTGTGTATACTAGATTTGCTGACCCTATTTAAGGCAACCCGATCTCTGCTTTAAACACACTGACTTTTTCCTCTTTGAACCATCTATGCTAAACAGTAAGTTATTATCAAAATTTAACTCAGCTTTGAATGCCAGAACTATCTCAAAATTCAATAACGTTATCCCACTTTCTGATTAATGCGAAGCGCAAAATAGTTTCATACTGAAATACTTACATACTTACTTACATACTTAAAATGCAAGCTGGTGCCGACGGAAGTGATACTGTCTTATCTGCCCGCAGATATAAAGTATAATCATGCATTTAGCGACTGTATAACTCATATGTTTAGATGTACTAGATACATACATACCTATATATGTACTCAAGCATATGTCGTTTTATAACAGAAATCGCAGCGTAATTGGATTTCAAATTGACTCGCATTGACAGTGAATAGTGTATGCTGAACGGAGGGCAGGTCACAGTGCCGTCATTGTTTGTTACAAGCGTGGCGGAATTGCAGGTGTGGCACACACTTATTTAGTGGTATATTCACACATGCCACTGCAAACTCCGACATGTGTGTCGACTTTTGTAAGCAATTCCTTACACATAATATGACATTTACGAGCGCTTTATCAACATATTCCTCTGCTGCATGCCATCTCTCTTCCGGCATGTCACTACACTACTCCTAGCACTATACAGCCCGCATCCAATATGGCCCCAGCCTCCCAGTCTTCAGTGGCGCATGGCAAACAGCGTGCAGTGCCAAAGTTTATTACATGCTAAAAAAGTAAACGTACTTGTGTGGGTGTATGCACATAAATACTTACATATGTATGTATGTCGACGAGTGTACTTGCGTGTTTGCCTGCCTCTTTACAATTACTACATGCAATATTTGTCCAATGTGGCAAATCTCAGCCGGCAACGTTCTGTGTTGCTGCGACCCGCTCCTTGAATGCCCATACATAGCTTTTACCACGTGTCTCCACTCAGTTACTCAGCGCTACTGCAGAGGCTCAACTACTGTAAATGGCATCCATTCAAGTGTGCACATTTGTATGTACTTACATACACATACATATGTACATTAGAGTGGTAAAAAAATTTCATTCTAGAAAACAGGGCACCCCTCATTTTTTTCCTTTTGATATTTGTAACATCTATACCAACATTTAGTGCTCAATGGCCTTGAAATGCGCTGCTGGATCGCTATGAACCTGCAAAAATATTGGTGATTTTTGTAAAAAGCGACTGTTGCCATGACAACTGAAGCTTGTGATATTTTTTTAGATAATTTAAATTTGAAATATTCTTAGGTTACTTACCCAATTTTTTAATTAATATACGTACACAATACTTCTACAGTAAAATATGGGCATCAGAAACGTAAAGTTTGACACCAGCACCTTTTTCGGTAAGAGGAAAAATTTTGGAAGGTGCCCCAAATATTAGTTTATTTAACACTCGAAAAAAAATTTTTTGTGAACCACTCTAATGTACGTACATAGCTTGCTTGCACTTAGCCAAGTTCGTGTGTACCCGCAGTGAAATCAAGAGAAACTAGCAAAATAAACCAGTAAACGGCAACAGTTCTAGAGCTCAACCTGCCGGCGAGTGCCCATGCACACCCATAAGCTCTCATGCTTACATCCTTATAAACTTGCTCATTTATTCATGGAATTCGTGTATTGTCCTGCCTGAGATTGTGTAAGTTTTTCTTGGCGCTTATCGGCATGTTTGTATGTATACGACTGTGTTTATCCTGCGCCCAACTGTTGTTAGTTAGGTAGAAATTTATACGCTTACTTTGGGACTCACATACATACTATATATATATTCATATGTATATATGTACGTAGAACAGTAGGGTGGATCACTCCCCATTAAAAAAAACTTTACTGTTTTTCCAACTGAATTATAAAATGAGTTATACTTTAAGACTTTCCCAAAAATATTTCCGAAAAATATTAAGATTTACGTGAGCTCAACCAATTTGAAAATCCCTGCCAAACCTAGTTTCTTCTTCTTAATTGGCGCTGTAACCGCCTTAGCGATTTTGGCAGAGTTCAACAAAGTACGCCACTCGTTTCTCTTCCGTGTCAACTGACGCCAATTGGAAATGTCAAGTGAAGCCAAGCACTTATCCTCCCTCTTCCTCTGCTACCAGCAGCGGGTTCCGAGTTGAATACTTTCCGAACTGGAGCGTCGGTGTCCATTCGAACGACATGGCCAAGCCAGTGGAAGTTTTTGTTATTAATAAAACTAGTTTTTAAAATTTTTTTTCCAAAAAATCACCTCAGATTATAGAAAAGTTTCAGCTTAAAAGGTTTGCATAAAAATATTTAAAAATTTCATCAACCGAATCAAAAAAATCGCCTTAAGTAGCATAGCCCACAGTAAACACACAGACGCGAAAAGTGAACGATTTCGGGCGAAAATTAAACTCATTATAAGGCGGATGAGACTTTTAAAATCGGTCCAGCTCACGTAAATCTCAACGGTTTTCCAAAATATTTTGGCGGTGGATAAACACACAACATTTGTTGGTGAGACACCCTAGTGTACATACATATGTATGTACGTTGCACAAAAAAGTTTGTCGGCGGATTTGCAGTTACATTGTTGATTGTTGGCAAGCTGAAATTAAGCCAATCCATTTTGGCCTTAAAGTGTTGGAAACGCTCATTTTGATCGTTGCTGTTTCAACGAAAACGCTTCCACTAGTGACTGGCTTTTGGTTGGTCTTTTTATCATTTCACAGCTCGCCGCATGAATTGTTCTTTAATATGAATCCCTTAGAGAATGCATACATACATATATGTAGGTATGTATTTAAGTTTAAAATGTCATTTCAACGCAGATGTGGTGGGAGGCGTACATAAACGCATACCTTACAGCCGTGACTGTGACTAGGCCGCCCGGTTGCTGCTGCTGCTGCTGCTTGTGTCTGTGAAGCTGAAGTGTTTTGGGTGCAATAAATGTCTTTTGTTTGTTTTAGTTAATTAAACTTTGCTGTTGTTGGCAGATTGAGGTCATAAAACTACGGATGCCTTTGCTGCCTGCTTTTATTTACTTTGCAAAGAAAATATTCTTATTCGACTGATTTCGGATAGAGGACACAGGAAACAGTGGTTTAGTAGTTTTTCGAGATGTAAATTCAAATAGACATGCAGTTTTTAAATAAATGAATATTTTGATATGTAACAATATGCGAATGTATTTACTTATACTTATGAATGTATGTAAGAGGACAATACCTTTTATAATAGCCTAAATGTTTAATGTGTACATATATCTCTTTACGTTTTTATGCACTGAGCGCTTTTACGCTTTTCGCATATCCATATAATATTCCTTTATTCATAATATATTCCTTTGTTTATTGCATTTACATACCTACATGCATTACATTGCGAAGGACTTAAAATTTTTCGTTCAACAGCAAAGTGCCTTTTTTCCTGTGTGTTTTGCTACAAATTACTGAGTATTGAAGTGTGCAACATTGTTTTCGCATAAGCAATTAACCCAATTTTTTCAAGGAGAAGGGAGATGGCTTACGAGGTATGCGATTTATATCCATGGACTTTCATGCGTTTGTATAGAAGTTTTAAGAAAAAAAAAAAAAAACTAAATGACAGCTTCAAACAGAAA